AGAGTTTAAATCTCAGAATAATAATGGCAACGTCGAAAACTTTTTAAGTGATAGAGTAACCATATTCCAACTAAATCACCAACCCTGCAGGACTAGCATCTCTAGGAGGATTCTGAGATGCTAATTGATGCTGACCACTCGTCACCACCGATTCACAGCTTGTGTCTTTAGCTGGGAGTGAAGGCTGAGAACAAAATCAAATACACATTACATTAAAAGAAAACATTCTAGAATTCTTTAAGCGAAGAGATTGCAAGACTAGAGTCCTCACATTGTGAGTATTTTGACGGAAGTAGCTGTTTTCATGAACCAGCTGTGACACTTGCTTCTGCAACCTATCATTCTCCTCCATCAAAAGCTTATTCATCGCCGTCAATTTCCGATTCACAGCTTGAAGCCTTGAAGCCTCTTTCCTCTGTTTCTCTCTGCATCTGAAAGTTCATAACATAAACGAAAAAACAAAGATTTGATCAACAAGATAGAGAGAGAAGACAAAAGAAACTCCCATTTTACTACAATCCCCAAAACAAAGGAATAGTATTATTAATTACCTTCTGTTTTGAAACCAAACTTTGATCTGTTTAGGCTCAATGTTAGAGAGAATAGGACACTCTCTGATCAACTGCTGACGACGAATCGAACTCGGTTTAGGACAATCATGATAAAGCCTCTCAAGTGCTTCAACTTGTTCAGGTGTATACCTCACATACTTCCCATTGTCTAAACATCCCAACTTACCATCTTTGCAAGACATTGCCATTTACTTCTTCACTTCACAGAACCCACAAAATGACAGTAATACCCCTCTAGATAAACACCCAAATACCAAAGTCTACTCCTTTCTAACAGAATCTAACCTTAAAATTACACCCCAAAGCTTATAAGAACATATTGTAATGGAGGCAGAGCTTCTAAATCTCCAAAGTCACCAAATTTAGTTCCACTACCAAATCTACTCAATGCCCATCCATTACAAATTTCTTAGAGCTTCATGTAATCTCAAAAGGAGACAAAAGACTCAATCTTTTTTTTTTTTTCTAAGTTAGGACTTTAAAAGGGCCAAATACCAACAAGAAAAAGAAAGATTTTTTCCCCAAGGTTTCAGCTTTTTCCCTTTTGCAAACACCAAAAAAAGATTCGAAACTAAAAACAAGAAAAGTTA